GGAAAAAAGATATGGCACCCTTCAACCACTTTGACATGGAGGTAAAGGATGCTGGAGGTGTTCGAGATGTTCTGTGCGTCTTCCATGTATTGGACGCAAACATGGACGTGCTCACGGACGACCTCCTCCTGGCTGATCTGAGTTTGGTGGCTCGGTTGGCTTCTCTATTGTTTCACTTCTGTTGTACTCCAATTTCTGTCTTAAAAGATATGGGGGTTTCCGAAGTAGGGGACCCTAATATAGTACCCTAAATAGTAGGATCCTTATTATCAGGAGCCCAAAATAAGGTTCCCCCTATTTTCGGAAACTCCCATATTTTGAAGGGATCGAATGCCAATGCAGGTGAAGTCGTACATGCCCCGATCCGACCGCAAGCTGACTTGTCCAATCATCGGCATTCATGCGAATGATGACGTCCTGGTCCCTTCTTCAAGAACTGTAGCAGCATGGTCAGCATACACAACAAGAGCCTTTAGCATGCATCAAATAGATGGTACTCATTTCTTTTTCTTCAGACCTCCTGCTTCATTTGTTGTCCTTCTGCAGAGCTGCCTGGATGCGTACGACTGCGCTACGTGGCCAGGCGCTGGAGCATATGAGCTGCAGACATTTTGGTGGGGAACACTCGATCTGCATGCCTACCCTTTTGGAGTGAGTCCTAAAGGGTACATCATATACACTGACGGCCATGTCTTCGTGCACCTTTGTGACCCGCTAGTGGATTCTGCAAAGCCCTTGGCGGCAGCGCACTCGCACGCATTTTACCATGGCACTTATGATGTTGAGAATGGGGCGGTGTTCCACAACATTGAGATGTCCAACAACCCTAATGATCATGCTGATGTTCTCGGCAGATATTTTCACTGGCAAGAAGAGGGGCGTAAGCTGACCCTGTCAACTCAGCCAGATTCGATGCGCGCTGCGGGAGGCACGTTAATTTGGCAGCGCTTGCCCGATTGCGGTGGCAATCATCAGAGTGCCCTTGAAGGAGCCTGGAGACTGGTCACTGCCACAGACATTGAGCTGACATTGGGGATGCTGGTGATCAGATGTGGTAAGCTGATGCTTCAGTTGCAAAAGCCTGAGCGTCCGAGTTTGCCCGATGTTGATCCGGAGCATGTGCCTCCAAGCCTTTGGCTGCAAAACATGGGAACCTGTATGAGCTGTGTGTGCGAGGTCCAGGTCCTGGGCTCTTATCTCCACTGCCACGTAGTCCTTGCTATCCCCACTCTAAGCTCCTTGAATCCCCTGCTTAAGGAATGGGAGTTTCAATGGGCGCATGCTTTACAGACCGAGGATCGAGATGACCGGTTATCAGTTGTCACAGCGGAGGGTGTGCAGCTTGTGTTTCATCGGGTCGATTAATATTATAGGGGCCTTAATAATTATTAGAATAGGGTTTTGGGGCCCATTATACCATATTTATAATAAGGAATCCCGGAAATAGTATAGGTAATTGTTGAGGCCCCTATATTAGCCCGGCCCGTTGAACCCTCCCTTCTCGGCTCTATCAAGTTGCGCCGCGCTGAGCCAAAGGTTTCAGCATCCACGGAAGGTCTCCAGCTGCCACAACAGACGGTGCGCAGTTGTGTTTCATCGGGTCGGTTGGCCCGTTAATTGGTCACTCTTTCTCAGCCTCCACGAAAGATCTTCTGTTGCCACAGCAGAGGGTGTGTAGCTTGTGTTCATCGTCTCGCTTAGCCCGCTGTTCCTTCTTTCTTGGCTCTGTCAAGTTGCGTTGAGTTGGGCCGAAGGCTTCAGACTCCGCAAAACATCTTCAGTTGCCAAGGGTGCCCGCTGGGCCAAGGGCTTCGGCCTCCGCGAAAGACTTTCGGAGGAGTCCAAACAGTCGGGAAAATGCTCGTGCTCATAGTGCAGGCGGCGGTAGATGTCGTGTTGCTTTGCAAACATGGCAGTAGCAGACCCTTGTAGGAGTCTTTTGCCAGACATCTGCTCAGACAGTGCTTTCCGAGGGCGGCCTGCAGTGCAGCGGCAGGGGCAGTATCAGTAGCAGCAGTAGTAGTCGTAATCGACGTAGACGTAGTTAGCAACGTAGTCTGTAGGTGCACTGGTACTGCTCATTACAAATATTGATATATTGAAGGTACGAACGATAAATAATATATTATAAATTTCCTAATTCTGGATTTTATCTCATTTGATGAGGTCAAATGATTTCATTTTTCTACTATATCGATTAAATAAATAATTTTCAGAAATTATAGAAATATATTATGCTACGAAGAATATATTATATTTATTTTCACTTTTATATTAAAAAAAAAATATTATCTTTCGTAAAAATAGGAATAAATAAATATATATATATATATAATATTTCGATTTGCTAGGGGTTGGGTGATGGACTCTTGGGAATTTCAAAAGGAAGGGACTAGAATGATCTCGTCAATTATTTAGACTTTAGGGGCTGGTTCTTTTAATCTTGCACGTCTGTTATAAAAATTTCTATAGGAGGTTTATATAATTTTTATACAAGCCCTGAGGAACTTAGGTCCTTATAGAAATAATTATGGACTTCATAAAAATTGATATTTATCTAATAAATGATGACCGGCTTCGTGACGTGACGAGGATCGGGATCTGTGACCGAAGCATATCAACAAAAAGAAATTTATGAATTGTCAACTCGTAATCCCCCGAATCCGTGAACTTGCGAACTCGCTAACCCATGCGTCCGTCACGACTCGTGAGTTGCGAATCCATGAACTCGTGAGCCCATGAGCCCGCCGCGAACCCGTGAACCAGCCTACGAGCCCGCGAGCCTAACTCGCGAACCCGTGAACCCGGTACTCGTGAACCCATGAACCGACGAATCCGCGAACCCGTGAACCCGAGAACCCATGAATCCGCGAGCCCATGAAAGCGCGAGCCGATTTATAAGTCGCATGTGTGGGAGCCCGGGTTGCATGGAGTCTTTAGCTATGGTGTGGGCTACGACAACAGGCCGACGAGAAGGGTAGGACTAAAATGATCTATATTAACTCCTGGAAGCGACCAATTCAGGCCCGATTTTAAGGACCATAATGGATAATCCAGGACCCCCGCTTCACTAGTCGAAGATATTATATATATATCTATTAGAATTATATATAAAAAAAATCTGATATATTATTTTATAGATCTTGTGGAATGATGATCCTAGAATTTATATTATAATATAATTTATAACTAAGAAGAAAAAATTTATAATTAATTTTTTATTCGAAAAAGAAATATTTTATTTTCAAAAATCTAGAAAATATATATTGAATTTTATATTAATAAAATACTTATTTGAATTCTATGAATATACAGAAAATATATATTTTCGAATCTAGATTTAGAGAATAGATTTATATATATTTCTCTTTCTTCGGGAGAGGAATTATATATTAATTTCTATTAATCTGTATTTATTGAGATTTATCTAGAAATTCCTATGAAATTTTTATAATAAATAGATTAAAAGCTCTCAGATTCAAAGATATATATATAAGGCACCTTTTTTCGATTATTTTGTAATCGCCGGACGTTGTTGCTAGCTAGAAGCCTTCGGCAATAATCATTTGGCTGCAACCGTTAGATAATGAATCCCAAGATTTAATCAAAGATCCAAATAATGCCTAGCTGGCCTCCACAGAGGACTACAATATTCTTCCGACTCCAAGATAACCAGATTAATATAGGCACCCAGCGCCCTATACGAGCTTGCCTAGCGCTAACATAATGGTCCCGCCCAATTATAGAGCCTATTTCGGAATCAGATTTCTGAGCAGACCCTTATTATATTGCCCAATTTAGCTCTTCAATCCCAATAATTCTTGACTATCGTGGCACGCTCCTAAAATATTTTTAGACCATATATAGCGGACCATTATCTTCAAATGATATATAGATATAATAATAGCCCATATAATCTAAATAATCTTCGAACTAACTAATTCGTAATTATTAAAGACCAATAAAATATCTTTATAAATTTAAAGATTTGAAAAAATAAATCCTAGATATCGATAAGCCAATTAATATATTTTAGAAATATAGGTGCTCAGATTCTAATCTTTTCAATAATAATAACGCCACCTATCTTTTTAAAACCAAGATCTATCATAATCTTATTTTTTTATATAAATTCCGATAGAAAAGACTCAGATCGTTAATCAAATACAAATATTATAGGGGTTCGATATTATAATAAGTGGTAGTAATATTGAAAGTTAATCGTTATTGGATATCTTGGGCCGATTTTGTTATAATAAGTCATAGAGGATTTTTATATATAATAATTATTGAAAATATATTATTTTAATTATATCGTCGGAAAGTCAAAGAAATTTATATTTATCCATAAACTCTTTCTCGGCCTCCTAAAATCCTCCTAAATGAAGACCTCGAGAAATAGAGACTACAACCCCAGCACTAAATAAGAAAAAATTGAATTAAGAAACCAGTCCTTGAATTTGCGAAAATCTGCACCAAAATCTGCGGAAAACAAATAAAAAGAGTCCCCATCCCCGAATTTCAGAAGGCAATGGGAATAAGATTAAAGGCCTTAGTTTAAACTTTTGCACCACAAATCCAAGAAACAAAAAATTTCAGGAGCTAAATTTCTTAGTTCTTTAGTTTTCGACCGACCAAAAAATATATAAGAAATTTCAAGTCCTAAATATCTTATTTTTTTGGCTTTCAATGTAAGAAATAAGAATTTTCAGGGTCCAAATTTATTATTTCCTTAATTTTGCGACGGTCCAGAAAGAGAAGAAAATTTTATAGCGTTTTCTATTCTAAGTGGCGCATTTTCTTTGCCAGAAAGAGAAATAGAAACGGCAGAAATTCAAAAAAATAAATCTCGCTATCCTAGAAAACAAAATTATAACCGCCCCGAACTCTTCATCCATATTCAACCCTAAATAATATCAAATATAAACGAAATAAGAAAGTAAGGATACCTTAAACCCAATCACTTATGACCCTAAACCGAAATACAATAGTTTCTTATCCAATACCATCACTATACCTATTCCAAATCTCTAAATCCCTCCTTCAACATACTTAATTACCAAATTATTATAGCCTATATACGATAATTTCAATATTCTTACTACCTATTCATATAATTCAATATCAATATAAAATAACTGTATATTTTTTTAAAAAATATTCTAAAAAATATTATCCCACCAATGCAAATCCCCCCAATCGTAGAATTTAAATTATAATATTTTTATAATCGAAATATATAGAACCTCAAATTTAATATTAATGTGAAATACAATACTTCCATTATACTTCTTGAAACAGAAGCGATTCTAAGGCTTTTTTATTATATTTATGAATACTACAATTCTATAATATACCGGTAATACGAAATAGAACTTTCTATAACGACAGATCTGTCTGTTATTTTCACTTAATCATTATGACAGCAAACTAATTACGAGCGTTCGAAACAAACCGAAATCTAAAAGTAAACATAGACATCAGTACTGTAATAATAAGTCCAGAATTATTGAGTTCATAATCTTTAGTATATGATAACTCGTCCAAAGGTACAGGTAGAATTTGAAGGGAGTTCCGGACAGCTTCATTGCGTGCCAAATTGTCCAAATTATCAATATGACGACTCGGCTGTATTTCATTTGCGGGTTTTTGGATGGTCGGTGCTCATGGCCTTGCACGTTTGGCTTTGATCAACGGACAGACCCGCTCGCGAAAGCAGCCGCTCGTGCGGGGGGCCCGCGAGCAGGGCCGAGCGGAACCGTGGCGAGCCGTGAGCGCTTTGTCAAAAACTTCGCAGCGCTTGCTGCGCAACTATGTGCAGCCGAGGCCTGACCCAAGACGCATGAGCGCAGAACCTCTCCAAGGCATGCCTGAAGCGACCTAGCTGAGCCCTAGCTGTAGCAGCACGGCGGGCGTTGCCGGAGGCGTCCTCACAGCTACGCAATGAGGCCGGAGGCGGCGTGGTTCTAACCAGGCTCTGAAGCCGAAAACGTTTGAAGGATTAAACCTTCGGAGCCTTTGGCCGGAAGAGCGCCGGAAACGTCACACTTCCACTCGGCCCTGCTCGCGGGCCCCTCCGCCCGTCATCATAATGCCCTTGATGTGCGTGCGGATGTTCATGCAAAAGCACAAGTGATATCTAGCACCAGAAGAACACTATAAGATCACTATCATGTGCTTGTCAATCTGGCTATATGTGTATATATTTTTATGTTTTTGTGTATTCAAACAGTCATCTCTATAATATAAATGTGTTTATATAAAAACACAACGTACATACGCACGCACACACACACACACACACGCACAC